CATAACAAGCCAGCATGCAAACATATAATCACATACTGTCACACGTATCTGGGGTGTCTGACTACCCTTTGGTCCTAACAACCGAACTCTACTACTATCACATATAACATATCATGCTAACATATAACATATCAGGTAGTAGCAAACCTAGATGATATCACAAAGACAATCATCTATCATACATCTCCTACTGGTGGGCCAGCATTGTGGCCTTAGACCCACCGCTACTGGAAGGTAACTCACCTAGTAGTAGCTGCTGATCTGTGTGGGAATAGTCTGTCTGCTGCTGCTCCGGAAATCCTCTGGCTGTAATTCCCACCAAACACTTAGTCAAATACTGCTAACCACCCTCAGGGTAAATTGCCCATTTACCCTTAACAAGTCATGAGTTAAGTCATAGTCAACTGCCAGTTGAACAGACTCGCCGAGTTGGCTTGCCGACTCGCCGAGTCCCTTTCTCTATACCCAAGTCTTAATAGTCCTGCATCCTACTCGCCGAGTTGTATGAACAACTCGCCGAGTTCGCCTTCATCCGAAGAACACTCTACGCTGTGACTCGCCGAGTTGTATGAACAACCCGTCGAGTCTGTTCTTGATTTACGAAGATTGTCTTGAACTCGCAGAGTCAGGGCATTTACTCGCCGAGTTCCTTCATGGATGAGTTCGGCTCTCGACTCGCCGAGTCGTTACCATGCAATTACTATATGGTCAATTCTGCTCGAATCCAGCTCACGCCATTCATAGATCTGTGATCCTGGGGCTTGATTTACACGTAAAGTTTCCAACTTTACGTGTAAATAGGCAACCATGAGAGTTTTAGGGTCCAAAATGCACCAAAAGGGTAGATCTAGGGCTTTCATGTAATATGGTTCCAAAAAGATAGTAGATCTGAGCTCCTGGAGCTCAACCATGCCTAGATCTAAAGGTTAATCAGCTTATTACGAACCCTCAAACCTACCCAAGCTTGGAAATGGTTCAGAAAGGACTTTAATGGAGCTATAACGGACAATAAGCATGAAAACAAGGGGGGAAACGAGTTATACCTTAAGGAACACACTGAGATAGCTCAAAGATGCTTGACCTCGTCTTCTTCTTGATCTACTCTTCTTCCCACTCCAAAACTTCAAGAGGACACACCAAATGCTTCAAAATCACAAGGAAACAAAGCTTGGACAAGATATAGGGCTCTGAGGGTGAATGGGGCGAGCTTGGGTCGCACAAGCTAGCTTAAATAGGGGGCAAACCCTTGGATTAGGGTTTCATCAAACAGCGATGACTCGCCGGTTTCATCAAACAGCGATGACTCGCCGAGTCCAGGATATGGACTCGCCGAGTCGACAACTTAAGCGTGCCCCCGGACCGCGTCCCTACTCGGCGAGTCGGACCTACAACTCGCCGAGTCCAAGGCTAAAATGACAATTACTTAGA